CCTGATTTTATATATATATATATATAATTTTATTTTTTATGTATATGTTTTGAGTGAATATATGAAGAGTATAAAGAGGGTAGATAAGAGGAGAGGAAAACGGTTGTTTTAACTGCCAAAGACTCGGTCCAAAACTATTTTGCTACCTACACTCACTGTTTTTTAATCCCAATTATTTTAATTATTAATACACATCAAAAAACAAATAATATTAGTACAAATTCCCAAATCCTAACTGATTATCATTATTAAAGACCTTTTTTTCTAATTATGTTGTGTGTTTATCTTCATTTGGATTCTTCATGTTTGTGTAAATTTGCAGCAGTGAAATTATTGACAGTCATTTGAAACAACTAATTATTGCATTATTCACTTTTGGATACATGGCATTTCTAAGACTTGGCTCCAAATCTGAGGCCTTCCGTCGTGAAGGCCAAGCTTGGTAAGCCCCTTTTCCGTTTTTTTTTTTCATTTGATGTTCGATATCTGTTTTGAGGCTCTGATTAATTTAGATTCGTGATGCATAAGACTTATTAAAAAAAAAAACGCTCCCTATTAATAATTTTTTCATTCTTAGAGATGTACAATGGAAATAAAAAAAAATCGACCCCTTTGTAATCATCCACTAGTTGGATTAATGGATCATTTGATTGGAAATGATAACAAAATGCATAAGTCATTAGAAGGAGTTAGTCCCCCTGTCAAAAATACAACATTTGTGTCAACTTTGAGCTTATGCTTGTAATCTCTCTGTTCAGAAGTTCAACTTCACTTCTCACTTTTAATGCAGCATCGGTGTTGAATTCTCCATAAATACATTACTTTTGGAGAATATGACATGCATCCGTTGATATTGTTGAAGAGTTCGAGCAACATAACATTTCAGCCAGTGGCGTAGCCACATGGTGGTTAGGGTGTCTTCGTCGGTAAAAAATATTGTATATACAAGTAAAATGATACACGAAATGATTAAATAACATATTTTGGACACCCTTAATATAACAAGTTGTTATAGCTTAGTGGTTTCACTTCCTTGGAATAAGGAAGTGCTTGTGTGTTCGAATCTCACTAGTTCCACTTTTTGAAAAGAGCTTTTGTTGTGCTATTTCTGGACACTCTTTGTGAAATTCCTGGCTCCGCCACTGATTTTAGCATATTAAAAGTTCAAAACATTTGATTCATTTTCTTCATTTTTGTTTCTGAAGTAGCAAAATTAGAAATGTTTTCTTTGAATTATGAAGCTTATGCATGAACTCTCTTCAGGCATTGCACATCAGGTCTTCCCAGTGATGTTACAATTGAAATTGGAGAAATGTCCTTTTATCTACACAAGGTACACCTTCTTCTTCTTTTGTTGTTATCAATTACTCCCCCTCCGTTTCAACCTGATTGTCTGGTTTTGACTTGACTCGGAGTTTAAGAAAGTTAAAAGACTTTTGAATCTTATGGTCTTAAACTAAAGATATATAGAATGTGTCAAAATGTCCTTTAATCGTGTGTAAGACGAACAAATTGAAACGGAGGTGTAGTGTTTGTGCATTTATCTTGTTTGTGTATTACTCTGCAGTTCCCATTGATATCAAGAAGTGGACTACTAGCAAAGCTAGTTAAAGATTCATCAAACGACGACGTATCAGTTAGCGTCCTGCAGCTCAATGACATACCTGGTGGTGCTAAAGCATTTGAGCTAGTAGCCAAATTCTGTTATGGTGTCAAAATAGAAATCACTCCTTTGAATATAGTGAGCCTTAGATGTGCATCAGAGTATCTGCAAATGACAGATGAATATGGTGAGACAAATCTCATTGCACAAACAGAATCTTTTCTTAACGACGTTTTTGGGAATTGGACAGATACTATAAAAGCTCTTGAAACATGTGAAGAAGTTCTACCACATGCTGAAGAGCTTCATATTGTGTCCAGATGCATAAATTCCTTAGCAATGAAAGCTTGTACCGATACGAAGTTGTTTAACTGGCCTGTGTCTGAAAATGGTCATGAGGATACCACAGACGTGGAGGTGTGGAATGGTATATGCACGGGATCCAAGACACAGCCGATGACAGATGATTGGTGGTATGAAGACGTGTCGTTTCTTAGCTTACCTCTGTATAAACGGTTGATTCAGGCGGTTGAAGCTGGAGGAATGAGGCCGGAAAATGTAGCAGGTGCAGTTGTGTTTTATGCAAAGAAATATATTCCTTTGATGAATAGACAAGCAAGTTTCAAGGATGCTACTAGCCATACTAATAAATCAGGATCAACAATTTCAACTCCATCAGAAGCAGACCAAAGGGCACTTTTAGAGGAGATAATGGAGTTGTTGCCTAATCAGAAAGGAGTAACAGACACCAGGTTCGTAAGTTGTTAGAGAAAACACACTTTTAATTACTTAATCATATTATGTCTTGACACCAAACCACCTTCCAAGTTCATTGTCTCCTCCCTACCCCCAACCCCCTACCACCCCTCGATCACCCCATCCGCATAGTGTTTTTCTAGATGACTGAGAGCCTGTTTGGATTGACTTATTATAGATGTTTTAAACTCAAATTAGTTTTTAAGCACTTAGGATTCCTGACTTGCTTATAAGCCATAGGCTATAACTCCATCCAAACAAGCTCGTATAAATGCTCGAGACAATAACTTCTTGCTTACTTAGCAAATATTATAAAATAAGTAAGAAAGTCACTTATATTTCGAAAAAAAAGTTCTAAGAAAACATCTTCATTCTTACCAAACACACCTTCCGCTTGCTCTGGTACCATACTGCATTGTGTGAACTATCTTATTTAGAAGTTTAAGTTGCTATAGAGAGCAAACTTTTGATTACGTATTTTACATATCAATACAGGTTTCTTCTTAGGCTGCTCCGTAGCGCTATGATGCTACAAGCAAGTCCATCTTGCAGGGAGAATTTGGAGAGAAGAGTGGGATTGCAGTTAGATCAAGCTGCACTAGATGACTTGTTGATACCAAATATGGGATATTCAGTAGAAACTTTATATGATATAGACTGTTTTCAGAGAATTTTGGATCATTTTATGTCAATAGACCAGGCTTCTTCTGCACCATCTCCATGTATTATGGAAGAAAACCAATTGATGGAAGGTTCAACTTCCTTGACTTCGCTAACAAGGGTAGCAAATCTAGTGGATTCATATCTTTCTGAGGTCGCGCCTGATGTTAATTACAAGTTCCCTAAATTTCAGTCTCTTGCTGCTACAATCCCGGATTTTGCAAGGCCACTTACTGATGGTATCTATCGTGCAATTGATATATATTTGAAGGTAACAAGTAGTTCTATGTTTCTGTTAATGATATGCGATTTTTCTTACTTCAAATGTGTTGTTTTATCGGGTTGAAGTTGATTCTTTTGAAATTAGAATGTCATTGTAGCAACTAGTTTTTGATTTCTCATAGTAATTTTGATGAGTTTCTATGTTATGGTAAAGAAGTAACTAGAATTGACAAAATTCACTTCTCTACCTCTTCTTCTACAATTACCAATTAATGCTTATCGTTGAGATTTATGATAGTAGAAGGTATAGGTAATTGCCTTTATTTAGGTTTGTTTTTCCTTCCTTACAAGTAGTAGTAGGTTTATTCTCGTAGTTCCCTGTCCATCGAATTATGTAACTACTTGTTATTTCTTGTGCTTCAGTTATCGCGTCATTTGGTTATTGTTATTGTACCTTTTATCTGAATATTGCTATGTAATGCTTCCCGTATTATTTACTATGTCCTCTTTGATTCTGTATTTTTCCTTTTTATGATGTGGTTACTTGAGCTGAGGGTCTTTTGAAAATAGTATTTCTACCTCCATGGGGCAGGGGGAAGTTCTGCATACACTCTACCCTCCTCAAACTTAACATGTGGGATCATATTGTTGGGATTTACATATATTAAACTTCAGAGTGATCTGATATTGTGCATCCTTTCTTACACATTTCAATTTTTAGGCACATCCTTGGCTCACAGACTCAGAAAGAGAGCAAATCTGCAGACTAATGAATTGCCAGAAGCTCTCGTTGGAAGCTTGCACACACGCTGCTCAAAACGAGAGGCTACCTCTTAGGGTCATAGTTCAAGTCTTGTTCTTTGAACAACTTCGACTACGGACATCAATATCAGGATTGTTCTTTGTCTCAGATAATCTTGACAACTCCCAAAGTACTACTCTTCATGGAGGGAACCGGAACACAAACACAGCAAATGGAAGAGGATCAAGTATCGATGACATGAGGGAGCGTGTTGCAGAACTAGAAAAAGAGTGTAACAGCATGAAACAGGAGTTTAAAAAGGTGGTAAAAACAAAGAAAAAGTGGAATGTCTTTTGTGGAAGAAAATCTGAGTGTGACTTGAATTCAGTAAATCCCAGCAAGTTACAACCTCAACATGTTAATGAGCGTAAAAATCAAAAGAATGGAAGCTCAAGATGAAGGTAGACAGTTTTTTGTTCATTTCTTGCCATCAAGACTTCTTTTAGTATCATGTTATGGTTTGCACTCGTTATAATGTTTTTACAATTTGTTAATGTAGTGCGTAGATAATAGGCCAGTGAAGCTTTTGAGGTACTTCAAGGGTATCACGGATAGCTCATAAAGTTTAAATTCTGAATCCGTCTCTGGTCATGGATATGGTCTGACATTTGACAGACAAGATTTCAGTTTTTTGTTATAGGATGTGTGAATTCTATTCATGTTGGAAGATTTAGATAAGACAAGATATCTATTCATGTATGCTACAATTGTTCATCTACCAAAGAGACCGAGTATATTCTTTCCACGAATGAACTACTAGAGTACAAGGCACGCAGAGTTTAGATATCATCCATCCTATCATGCATAAAATATTACATAGATTCCAGCATAGCATAGTACAGTTATCATGTAATACTGATACAACTATCTTAACGCTGTATTTGAATGCGATGACCAATTTTTTGTATACAATCAACCACACATTCAATCAACAAATTAAGTTTTCAAACAAAAAAATTGTGCAACAATTCCCACATTCATTTCACACACCAAGATAACACATCCCAAAGAGTGATCTAACATGTCATTAGTCAACATATTACAGGTCAGAATCTTTCCCCAAGGCAATTTTAGAACATACACTGTAAAAGAAAATATACTAAGTACTCGCATTAGTCGTACTCGCATTAGTCTAGATGCAGATACCAAAATTTTGTACCAAATTTGGTGTAAAACTAGTAGCAGGTGTTGAAGGTTGCAAGCATTTCATGAGCTTTGTTGCGATTTTCATCATTTCCAGGCCCTGCCATGTAAGATTTTACATTTGTAAGAAGCTAAAACACATTCAACAAGAGCTTTGAACCGTAAAATAACCATATAAGAGTATACATTGATGAGTTCTCGGCTCTGCCTTTTAAGAGACTACACATAAATTTGAAACATGAACATGTGAGTTGTTTACCTCAAGTTTTTCTCAATCAAAAAGATGTAATTTAACACATTCAAAATTGACGCCTAGGGGGTCGCTCTTCTGCAGCACTTACACGAATGGACCTGCCATCAAGGTCCTGCACAACAAATCACACCAGATACATAGTATCAGAACAGCCTGATGAACATATTGAGCATCTTTTCACAAAAACTCAAAGTCGAATGAGAAACAACATCTAGCAAAGCTGAAACCAAAGTAATTTGTGGTTCAACTAGTAAACAGATATCGGATGATTCATAATCCTTGTTTAATCAGGATTAGTAAAATATACTTACAAAGCCATTCAAGCTATCAATTGCCTTGTTGACCTCTTGAGCAGAACTGAATGTCACAAATCCAAAGCCCCTTGATCTACCACTATCTCTGTCATAGACTACTTTGCAATCCACAACTTTGCCTTGATCACTGAACAATTCTCTAAGTGAAAGGTCATCGACACCCCATGAGAGGTTTCCTACATAGACTCTGTTGGAGCTATCGAAATTTCTCCCACCTCGTGCACCTCCATAAGAAGAATTCTCACTTCTCCCACCTCCATAAGAGGAATTTTCACTTCTCCCACCTCGTCCACCTCCAAATGAATTCTCCCTTTTCTCTGGTGCTGGCCCAGAGTTCACTCTCAATGCCCTCCCGTCGATTTCCTGCAAGAGAAACATCAAAACATTTACTTAGATATGCATGTCCAAGCACTTCTTTTGGAAAGACAAGATTTTTAGATTACACAAATGACAAGTTGAAAAGTGAGACTAGAAAGTGTTTTCATCAGCAGCTAATTAGCATAGCAAGCCATATTCACTTATCGAAACATTAAACAAACATTGTAATATAAGTACACTTGAAGATACTAATAAATGGCAAGAACAAAGAGCAAAACTTTACATATCCATTGAATTGTTGCTCAGCAGCTTCCACTTCCGCTTTCGACGACATTGTCACAAAACCAAACCCTCTGCTTCTTCCTGTGAGCTTGTCATATATAACCTGCAAAATTATAACAACTTCAATACCTTCCTATACAATCCTTGCATCTCACATCCACTCGAAAACTCAATATAGAAAACAAATCTTCTCGAGCTCACTACCTGGAAAAGTACAAAACACAGCCCTTTCTCCATGATACTTGAGCAAGCATGGAGAAAACGTTTTACTACTATATCGAAAAAGTTTCATAGCATGTTCTCATTATCACTATTTACCTAAAACTTTTTATATTTTGACACACAATCATTAAAATTTCTAGCTCCGCCACTTTTACTTATTTAATTACGTCTTAACATGACCATGTACCTGCAAATGCTCTGCCAGCTATAACAGGGCACAATTCTATTTACTTAATTGTTCTTTTCATCAACATAAATCAGCAAAATTAACGTTTCCCAACAATAGAAACAATGAATAATTAGCTTAATTACCTCAACCATCTCAACATTTCCAGCTCGTTCGAAAAGCTCAGCAAGTGCAGCACTGTCAACACTGAACGGCAAATTACCAACAAAGAGTTTAAGGTCCGGAGAGAAATTGGGTTCTTCTTCTACTTCTCCGACATCATCTTCCAATTGGTCAAATTCAGATAACGCCACGTTACGAACAAACCGAGAACCGAACGAAGAAGATTCAAAAGGCTTGATAGAAGAAGAAGGGGTTGAAGAAGATAAAGAAAGATTCAGAGAAGATGAAGGAAGAGAGAAGAAGGAAAATGAAGTTGGTGCGGAATTGGGTTTTAGAGAAGAAAGGGTTTGTGGAGTTACAAAGAGAAATTGAAGAGAAGAAACTGAAGAAGCCATTGTTGATAAGGCGCCGAGTTGATAGTGTAGTAGAAAAAGATAAGGTTTTTCAAGATTTTGAAGGTTTTGAAGAAGCAACGTTCATATTTATAAGTGGGAAAATGCGTAGATATTTTCATTTTTTTAGGTTTAGGCCTAAAAGGGGGAATAAGGCCCAATGGGTTAATTTGGTTCTATATCAAGAAGCTTTATAGCCAAAGTGGCAAATATCAAAGCCCGTTAGATTTTTGTATTCTCTTTGAGGGTTGGATTTAATTTTGAGTAAATTTTAGAAATAGCAAAGATAAAAATTATATTACCGATCTTTTTGTTTTGTTATTTGTGATCCATAGTCAAATTATGTTTGCTATGGAGCATCTAAATTGTATAAATCGCAACGATTTGTATAAATTGGACATCTGTGTCTATGAAAATTGTGTTTGTATATGTATATGTTCTTTGTGTTAGGCTAGAGTGGTGAGCGAGATTATGAGAGAGGCGATCGAGAGAAGGCAGAAAGTGGAGAGAGGTGAATTGTATATGTATATCAGTTAGATAATTGTATATATGTAACTACTATGTGTATATATCAATGATTGTGTTTGTATATCTGCATAAAATTTGAATTCATATACAATTGAATCGAGTTAAAACTTTTGTATTTGTGTATCAAATCTCTCTCGCTTTATACAAACACAAATTATACATTGTATTTGTATAATTTGTGTTTGTATAAAGAGAGAGAGAGAAAGGCAAAAGAGAACTAGGCAGAGGAAGATTTGTATTTGTATAATTATGATTGTATAGGACAGAGAGATATGTATTGTGTTTGTATATACAGTATCTCTCGTTTTATACAAACACAAACACAAATTATATAAAGTGAGAGAGGCGAGGGAGAAAAGACTGAGAGTGGCGAGTGAGATTCTAGAGAGAAGGGAGAGAGGCGAATGGCAAGAAGTTTGCTACAAATTGGCATTAAATAAAACCGTAGCTATAACATTTATTTTAGATTAATAATTTGCTATAATTTACAATTTTCCCTTTAATTTATTCAAGGATTGTTTGATAAAATTCCATATGTGTATCATGCATTGTGTCCCATGTATATCATAACATAGATGAATGTATATCTCACAATATATCTATTTATCTCTTATTATATCTGTGTGTATATCCATGAAAATTTATGTGTAACATATATTTATATATGTTTTTGAGGATTTCTTTATTATTGAACTTCTGTCGTCTGTAATCACCATTTTTTTTTTTGGGTTGTTTTTTTATTGGATTTTCAATATGCATGTACTAATTTTTTTGATATACTTATTCATGTTTGAATGAAGATAGTCAGGTGAATTCTTATGGGTGATTTTGAATCCAAGCTTTAAGATAATGGACTATTTTAGACCTTTTTTCCTCTTTTTCTCTTTTTAATAAAATGTGCAGTTAATTCAATTTAAGAATTGGTGCAACAAAGATGTTTGATAGTATGCTCGAACCAACTAATTAAAAGTTTTTTTATTTCTTTTCCTTATAGGTCTTCTACAAGGTACGTCTTTGTCAATTATGAAGATTTTGGGTCAGTATTAACTTTCTTTGACTTTTATTGGTGAGTTTAAGTTGTTATATTGAACTCCTCACGAATTATATTGTTTTCTATATTTTCTAATGAATTTCTAAGTTGGTTCTAACAAGAGACTCATGTCTGCTACTTATATCATATACGACATGAAGCGCATTGGTCATTTGATATAAATGATGGGATAAAATAGTTATGAGATTAGTTGATGCCTCATATCACATGAAATGAAGTTAATCTCAAACCTTATCTCGAGATTGTTTTTCGTATCTTATCTAATGTACCAAATTACCCTAAAGGTATAAGTTGATACTTGAAATACTATTACATCATGTCGGTTGAGTAACTTTAATTTGTTGGAGTGTACATGTAACACAAATTACATGTTGGCCAATCTTCTTATATCGTATATTTGAAAAAATTACTGAAATACATGTCTTATGTTTTTCTTATTTTTAATATTCCCTTTTATTACTAAAAACCTCTAAAATCTCTTATTTCTCTCCTAATTCTAAATTATTTTATAATGTATCCGAGCTAGTTTTTAATGTATCCGAACTACATATTATGTATCCGGTTTATTTTATAATATATCCGAGCTAGTTTTTAATGCATCCAAGCTACATATTATGTATTCGATTAGTTTTTAATGTATCCGAATTAATGTAATTACAAACTAAATAGGGATAGATTGTAATTTCATATTTATAGATTGTAATTTCATATTAAAACTATGTGATTCCTACAATTTATACTTTTTTATTTTGCCTCAAGTTTCATCCGTGTGGCCATATGCATTCTTAAATGACTTCAATTTTTCAATACTCTTAAGTCTTGACAATTTATCTCTAGATTATTGGAGTTGTAAATTACTCTTTGTAAGCACAAAATGAAGTACTTAAGTAAACTATAAAATGAAGTAGTGTTATGTTGTGTAATTTTCATACAATGTGGTTAAATTGTACAAGAGAATTGATATACCAATTTTCTAGAGAGAGAAGTCTGAGTTGATCCAGCTAAGAAGCTTAAGAATTTTGGAGAGCTTATGTTGTAGTAAAATTCTATGATATTACGCATAGAATTTTTGAAGATATGTATTTATCCTTACCTAACATTTCATATATAAGTTTATGCAATTTTAGCTTTTAGTTTTTTCATGTGCTATTTTGTCAATCTTTTGTTTAATTATATTTATCATCAAATCACATGATAATATAAAATGTTGGGATCGTGTTGAGGTGAGTCTTGCTTATCTGGTATATATATAAACACTTAAATTAAGAAAACAACAAGAACCGAAACCATAGCTAAATATTAAATATTAGGAGTTTTTTATTATTATAAATAACTAAATATTTAATAGCTATACCTTTAATTAATTTCAAAGTTATAAATATTTAAAATAAAGTTGATGGCTAATTTAACGTACATGCATTGCATGTGTATGTAGAATTATAAGTTAGACCTCACAAACTTATTGAAATAACGAGCGAATAAATATCGAAATATGAATTCAAAGTTATTTTTTATTACTAACGCATTAAAACACACTCAAGAATAAAGCAAAGAAGAAAAAAGAACTTTACCATTATGAGAGGGGGATGTAAAATCTTTAATACAAGCTAGTAAAAATTATTAGGTAATGAATGAAGAGGAACTTTCACATATAGCCACTCAAAAATAGCTTAATTACTCTCCATAGCTATAGTTTGATAATTACAATTCGTAGCTACATGTTATAGGGAGGAGAGAGGCGAGCGAGACTGGGAGAGAGAGGTGAGCGAGACTGGGAGAGAGAGGCGAGCGAGACTTGGAGAGAGGAGAGCGAGAGAGGACAAAGAGTGGGAGAGAGGTGAGTTGTATATTATACATATGTATTTGTATATATGGCAAGCGAGATTGGGAGAGGGAGGAAAGAGGCGAGCGAGA